ACATGTAACTACACTATAAAACCAACAAAAATCCCAGTCTCTGGTTTTGGTGTTTTCAGCCGATGAAGCATGCACCGCATGCAACACACGCAAACGTTGATTTTAAAATCCTTGAAGACTACGGAAAGCATCGTTTCACCACAAAGAAGCAGAACAAATATGCAAAAACAAGTTATTCGCCACTGAGTGTCGTAAAACAATGCACTGGAAAACCCGTCACTTCCCCTTTCCTTCAGAATATGAGTTAGCGTGCGCCTTGTCGCCCTCGTTTAGCTGACACGACACGATGAGTAATGCATTGTTCGGTGGACAGCGACCGACTATCGCGCACGGTGCATCTTCAACGACTGAATTTTTAGCGGCGGCCACTTACTCATAGCTTGTGGTTTAAGAAACATCTGCCGATATCAATGCCACTAAAACTGTGAGACGGTTAAATACATTAAGAGGTTAGTTTTGGTCTACATACTTCACACTGCTTTTATGGTTTTGTGATTCTTGCACCTTTAATGCTTTACTTTACTCATAAATTGTCCTTCATTAGTTACTGTTTTTCTTCTTTATATCCAATACAAGACTATCCAAAACATGATATCCTCATACCTTAAATACAATATTGCACGAAAAAAACTCATTTGCCAAGTTCAGTACCTATACCTGCACCAGCCGTAATGTGTAAGTATACCAGCATAACAGTATACCATTATATATGTATGTAGTAGCATTGGCAATAAGTGCACTCTCATTCACCCATGTGCAGTGCATCTGTGGCGATAATTTTTTCTTTTGTCACACTTCCGGTTATTATTCGATTGTTCTGCTCATAGTTAAACCAGTTTCATAGCAGCGAGCAATATGTTCTTTCCGTATCATTAGGCAAATGGCGTGTTATTGAACATTCAGCCACTCATAAGCAGGTAAAGCTGCGTTTACTCTTACAAAACTCAATAAACGCAGCTTAAGTGTTTGGTTAGCCGGTACTTCAGTCGTGAACTGGGGGACAGCCTCTGTCAAGAAGTGCTTGTAAAATAGAATAATGTCCTTCCAATAGAAATGTCCGTAATCTTGTCAGCCCCACCAGTGCTGCCTGGTGATGGCGAGATTGTAGCTGAGCGACTTTTTTAGAAGTAAAGATGATATGACAGCAACAAGCGGTTGAAGACTGGATGTTAATGAGCTTCCAAGAAACCTTGAATTATCACGAAACACTGCACTACGATATAAGAGACGTTGCTTGACATCCAAGAAACTATTTCAAATGACCCTGTACCGTGAATAGTTATCCCCAATTATAACAGAGTCCTCATCGTTTTTCCTGCGCTTCATCAAGTAATTCGCCATACCTATATCTATTGCCGTGACCCTCGTGATTTAGGTGGAACGTACCTACTCGTATACAGGGACAGTTACAATGCGGGGAAAGTGATGGATCTTTTCGGAGGGCAGACATGTCAGTCATGCATCAATGCCTTATCGGGGCGGTAGGCGCCGTAGTGAAGGTTTTGATACTGGTAATACGCCGGTGGTACACAATTTTAAGGTCCTAGGTCATTGGTTGACCTTCCAGGTCAGGTCAATGACCCAAAAGTCGGGAAAATCGGGACCTGTTGTGTTGCTGCTAAGGGGTTTTTCGGCATGCTGATCACGAATATCGTGTTAGTTTTGATCACAGATGATGTCTTTAAGAATTTAGACCAGGTCGGGTCAGGTCAGGTCAGGTCAACCAGTAGGGGTCGTGACGGGTATTCGTAGTACGTGTCAACCGCCTCTGACAGCTTCGTAACATGTTACGAAGGCACCAAAACTACTTCTTAAATGTTCAAATGGCTTCTAAATTCGAATTCAGCTCCAAAGACTAGCCTATAAACATGTAAAACTCGAAAAAGTGAACCGAGGTCACCAAAGGTCAATGACCTGACCTGACCTTCAGGTGACCTTGACATCCACCCTAATGCATGGAGCAACATAAAATCACATGTTTGAAGGTTTTAAACCACGAAAAGCTTGCAAACGCGCGGCTAATGCGAGCCGACATACGCCGAATCGCGATTCCGGCCAAACATGGCCTCGAGAAATAGGTCACAGGTCAAAGGTCACTTGGGTCTGGGTCATGACATTTTAAGAGTAGGTGTAAAATTGATCGACTCGAGGGTACTGAAAGTGTCATCGCGATGGGCCGCTTTTTACGCGAGTTAATCGCGAAAAACCATGGGGGGTCCATCCGCCCCCCTATACATGCGAGGGTTAAATGCTGAAGAAATATATTCAAACAACATGCCTTTCAAACCATTACCCTGCATACCACGTTGCATACGATTTATCACACCCTGCGTCCTTATGGCAGCGTGCATCCAGTCCCACCCGGCCATCTGACCAGCCGTCCGTATAGGTGTAACGTGCGGGAGACTTTGGAGGCAGTATCACTGAAAGAGTATGGCGTCTGGCGACAAAACTATTGCCAAATGCACCCTGGTCTGGCTCCTTGACCCCCAATTTCCCAGCGGAATCCAGCCCAAGTGTCTGTGCCCTGCACGCTTCGTGCAGCGCTACCTGCCCGACATCTGACGGCCGGGTTCGGAACTAGGCCGTGAGGGATCTGTAGATGTCGCTGGCCAGACGGTGATGCCTAGACGCCTGGAATGGAAATCGCCATGTAATCGCAATCTGTGTGCTCAGATGTCATGCTAACAGAAGAGAAACATGAAAGGGGAACGCAGTGGTGACCAAGAAAGGACACATCTTCACGTTAGGACGGCGTCTCTACATACACTTCCCGGGGTATGACGTTGAGCGTTCACAAACCTCTGCAGGCTGCAGTATGCACAGTTCGGAATGCCATTAATTCGTAGCACTTGCACTCTCAATAGCCAGGAATTCTTTCATAGGAATTAAACATAAAAACAGGTTCATTGGTTCTTAGTTTTCGTATATTCTGGACTTTGCATACATGTCAAAGGGAGACACATAAATTACGTGACCTAGGTATCATTATTAGGTAGGTATGTATTCGAAGGGAGAAGAAAACCGAAAGCGGCAAAAATGTGCGAACACCGGGCGTGATGTGCATGAGCGAAAAGTATGAGCGTCCAGTTCACCTTGCTCTCCCAGCAATCTTTGAACGATAAGAACCAATGGAACGCAGCCCATAGCCGTCACATGACCACAAAACTACACGGAAGCGGGACAATAGGGACGAAACCACGCACGCACCTCAGAGGAAAACGTCATCCGACGATGACGCGATATGCACGTGAGGTGACATCCACAGATGTCCGTCTCACAGAAGCCCCCCCCCCACACACACACACCAGTAAAAGCGCCGATCTTTGAGAGAGTCTCTGCGCCGTAGGTGGGATGGGGAACAGGATGACCTTAGATGGTTCTCGGTGGCTCCAGATAGTTACAGATGTTTCTAGATGTTTCTGGCTATTTCGAGCAGCAGTAGCAGCTTACACATCGGCTCGGCCGACCGACCCTCGCTGAGGATATGCTAATCGACACAGCGCGGCGGCGCGGCGGCGGCGGCCCTTCAGTAGCATGACACGACAGGATGGCAGCCGACCTCACGTGACCCGCCCCTTCCCCCACCCGTGGAACCGTCCCCCTCCCCCACTGCACGTGACCCGGCCCGCGTGACCGGTAGCGGGTGCTGAGGAGCGGCCACACTGTGACCAGCGCCGCGCCGGTGCAGAGTAGTAGGAGGCGGGAGGATAGAGTCGGTGTCGTGACACCGCGGGAGGTCCACGGCCGGACAGCACGGAACGAAATGAAACGAAACGGACCGACACGGGATGAAACTGGATGGAGCGGGACTGGAAAGGTCTAGACGAGACGGGACAAGAAGGGACGGGACGGGACGGGACGGGATGGGACAGGATGAGATGGTACGGGACAGGGTAGGACAGGACACGGCAGGACAGGACAGGACAGGATAGGAAAGGGACGGGACTGGACAGGATGGGACAGGATAAGACAGGATAGAAAAGGGACGGGATGGGATAGGTTGGGACGGGCTCGGGGCGAGACGGGAAGGGACGGGACGAACGGTCTCGATTTCTCCTGATAAGCTAATGCTAAAGGACATGGATTGTTTTAGTGATAAGTGACATTCATAAAAAGTTAATGTGTTCAGCACTTGATACGAGTACCTAGAAGCATTTACATAAAATAGCTTGCGTCTCGCCGTGATTTCTATGTTTCAAGCGCAGAAAATTGATTGTGCCTGACATATGACGTCATCGTAAGAATAATTGACCTGATAGAAAACTAAAACTAAAGGTTATATGTCCGAGTAATGGAAGCAGAAATGCTCAACTTCGGATTTATCCCTTCACGGGTTCTGCAGGTAATGGTCGCATTCCCGAACTATGTCAGTGAGGGTTATGTGATCGGTTGTCATGACTCATGACCATTGACCAGGTCAAAGTAAAACATCTTCAGAGCTTTAATCTCAAAAGGGAAATTGACTTATACACGCTACGGCATTTTATTTTAGCAAAGGCAAGTTTTAGCAAAGGCAAGGTTTAGCAAAGGCAAGTTTTAGCAAAGGCATTTTCATCTATTAGCCATTCAGCGATACACACTTAAACTGCTTGCCATTGACACATTTTCCTTAAACTAGCTAACGAGCACATCGGGAACCCTGGGCCCGAGCCGCTCACGCGTTTCCTCTTCCTCGTTCGTTACGATAACGTGACCTGTCCCTCTTTATCATTATCATGCAATTCATGCTAACAAAAGATTCATTCGCTTGCACTTCAGAGCCATGCATCGCGTTTACGAATATTTCAGTGCGTGTCTGTGCGTGAATGGATCGTTCAGGAAGAGAAGGGCAGCGCCGTTGGTGACACATTTTCCTGTAAGAATCTGTTCCTTTTCCTCCGATGCCCACTTTTTTTTAGCAAGAATGTTGGACAGTCCTTCCGCAATGAGTAATGACCACACCGGCCGGTGCGGCGCCGCCCGGCCTCGTCCGGTGCCGACCGGCTCGGTACGTGAGCGACGAGCGTGGCACGCTGCGTCAGACCTTCTCCGGCAGGGTTTGTCCCGTCGCCCTCTGCCCCGCGCCCCCTGGCGGACGTACCGTGCCAGGGGGCGCCCCTGTCGTCACGTGACCGCCAGCGGCGCGGGGAATGCCTCAAAAGCGGCGGCCGTCGCTGCGTCACACCAGTGCTTCCCCGTCCCACGGAGCAGGCAAACACAGCTATCCCTTCTCTCGCCATGTCAACCTGGGGTTACGGAACGAAGAACGGCCCTGCCACCTGGGCGCAGCAGTTTCCCCTGGGCAGCGGCTCACGGCAATCTCCCATCAACATCGAGACCAAGACGACCGCGTCCGACCGTAAGATCGACGCCGAGCCGCTCTCCATCTCGTACGAGCCCGACCAGGCGCAGCCTCTCACCAACACCGGCTACGGATGGCGCGTCGATTTCGACTCTGGCCGCTCGTCGATCCGCGGCGGTCCGCTGGAGGGTGAGTACCAACTGGCTCAGTACCACTGTCATTGGGGCCGTGAGAATGAGCGCGGCTCCGAGCACACGGTTGACGGTCGCCGCTACGCAGCCGAGCTGCACCTGGTGCACTTCAACAAGAAGTACGGCACGTTCGCGGCCGCCGCCGACAAGGAGGACGGTCTGGCCGTCATCGGCGTGTTCCTCGACGTCGGAGAGGAGAACGCCGAGTTGAAGAAGGTCACCGACAACATGGCCAAGGTGCGCTTCTCTGGCAGCAAGGTGGACATCCCTGCCACGGACCCGGACCTCTTTCTGCCGGACACCACGCGCTACTGGACGTACGAGGGCTCGCTGACCACGCCGCCCCTCTACGAGAGCGTCACGTGGATCCTATTCAGCGAGCCGGTCACCATCTCTCAGGTGAGATCGCCGATCCCGCGGCAGAGTTTAGATCTGACCCAAGGGGACCCTAAAGAGGGCAGAAGTTGCAGAATCCGCCCGACCCCACAGCATAACACTAGCTCAACTTTTCGCGGGAGACCGTCCACTGGTGGGCAAAAGTCGTCATGAGTCGCTTCTGGAGTCGATAAATTACATCTGATGTAATGTGCGCTGCAGCGGCCTGATTCGGAAATTCCCAACAGTCTGGCAAACATGACTCACTCTCGCGGCTATGAGATCTGCTGTTCCGTAAACTAGAGTTGCGTAACGCGTTTTAATGACAGACCAGCACCGCATGCTCCCGGCGTCTCATTCGTGCTTGATAGCATTATCCCGCTTGCACAATCATCACTCGTTCTCAGTATTTACAACTTTACCAGTAGTTAGTCTCCCCAACTTTTCCAGACAAACCAGCCCGTCTGTCATGTTCCCTGTCAGTCCCTGTCGTCACCTCTCCCGTCCTATCGTCCGTCCTTCCGTCCATGTGACCTACATTTCTCCTCCGTGAAAGCTCCTCCCCGCTCTGCGTCTATGCGTCCATTCTCTCCCCCTTATCTATCTGCACCTACCGTCTCACATCCGCTCGGCTCCCGGTCACTCGTAAGTCGTAGACCGCAATCAACTCGCCCATTTGACCTGTGGTCTGCCCCTCCCTCCCTGGCCCCAGTCTATCGTAGATTCACTCTGTGACCCAATGTATCCCGTGTGACTCGCAGTGACCTCGTTTGACCTTTGACCTCCTGTGTGACCCCAGGACCAGCTGGATCAGTTCCGGTACCTGCTGCGGCGGCCCACCGAGCAGCCCGGCGAGGACAGTGACGAAGAGGATGACGGCGCTATCGTGGACAACTTCCGTCCGCCTCTGGAGGTCGGCAGTCGGACCGTGCGCAGCGCGGCCAAATCGCTCCGGTCACGGCAGTGATCGGCCGCCCCGGGTTCAAAGGAGGTCACACCGGGTCACAGCACGTGCTGCTGGATAAAAACGTGGCTTTTTGAAGACAGAGGTCGGTGGGCAGCTGACATTTGTTGTCAGGGTTGGTGCAATTGTGTAAAGACTGATGACGCGACTGCGCGGAGAGGGTACTCTCTGGCAAGGTCGGGTCTGTGCCAGGTCAGGTCAAGTTTTCCAGCCTGTGACATGCACGAAGTATTGTTTTATATCGTACTGTTCTTCGCAGCGATCTTGCGCGCAGTCTGAGAGATGTAGAGTAGTCCGTCCAGTAATCTAGATTCGCTGATCGAGCGTCTCTAATCATCAGTGTCGGAGCCGTCCCTATAAGTCATGAGCATATGTTTGACTCATTCAGCTTATTGGCACATCGCAAATGTTCCTGAATATGTCATCACTGCGCCCAGAGTGTCACATCGTAAACAGTGCTCCGAAATACACCAGTCACATGCTCAGCATTCGATTGCATGTCCAACGCCGCCGTTGAGCAGCTATCGAAGAAAACATCGTGTCTGTTTCCAAAGTGATGTTCGTTTATAAGCCAGACACATTTGCATAACTGATGGCCAGTGATCTGAAAGAGCATATTATATATGCAAGCTACTTTGTACACTTCCCCGATACATAGCAATCGTGTTATGAAATACGACGTAGGTATTCTCAATACACGGAGCCATGCAAATGGTGTATCGGTGATTCAATGTTTCCTTTTACATCATAGCCAGTGGCTGGTAGTGATGTAACTGTGTAAGGTGTCTTCCTATGACTCATCCGTCATTTCGAGCGATGTCCAAAGGGGAAAGAACTGCGAAAGGTGCTAATTGGCTGAGTAATCAGTAAATGAAGGTAAGTAGGTATGCAATAACAATTTGAACAGTTACTATTTCATATGCAGTGTTTATGGCTGAGTGTTGATGGTTGATTCGTGCCGGTTGCTGTTAAAAAAGATCTGAATTGTGGCGAGATACCAGGTGGCGACCTCGTCATATTGAGCCGATTAACCCACTGTTATTAATTAAAAGCAATAAATCAATTATATCGTACCTTATCAGTTTTTTTCTCTAAAATTAATCCGCACCATGGCGGGGAGCCTATGTCCCTTTTTTGCTCGATATGTGATCCATTTTGTCAAAAATGTCGGCGAATCGGGAAAATTTGACCTTTTATGACCAATGGTGACATGACCAGTGACCTAGCCTAGGAAATGACCAGCACCCTTTTAAATAACTTTTTACGCTATTTCGAACTCTTGCTCGTGCTGCCACGTGGCATGGGAGCCGAGTTACAGGTGATGTAAGTCAGTCCCCATCTTTCATTTATATTTACTAAGTCATGCGATAGTAAAAACCTTGTTCAGCTCGTCATCGTGTCTTCCCTTTCTCAGTGAGCCGTCCAGACAACGGCGCCGTTTCCTTTACTCCCGTCCCGAATAATTTCTTAGCCGCCGCGCCGGTCGGCACAGGTCCCTCATTGTCCATCAAAATTCCTCAACTACCCTCTACCACAGAAATAGCTCTGTTTTGAACACGTGCTACGATGGACCAGCCTCGTAACGACGCATTGCGCTTTGCATAAATCGCCTCTCACGCTGCTGTGAGCGGCAGAGTGGCGCCGCTCTCCAGACACCTGCTGCCAAGCTGGTCATCTCGACCCGGCCTCAGCCAGGTCCCCGGTAGAGGTCAAACCAAGGTCAGCGTGCCGGCCCGACCCAGCGCTCCTCGTCGGGTCGGGGACGACAGGGACGCTATTGCGTCACAGGTTTCCAGGACGACGGAGCGATGCCGCCGGCGACTCGTGCGGACGAACGGGAGAGCGGGCGGACAGGTGGACCTGGACACGGAATTCGAATGGCTCGATTCAAATGCCGAATACTTGTGGACCGGGCTCATGAAGTAATTCCAACTACAGTGCAATAAAACGATAATCGATTCCCCGAGCCAGGATCATCGATGTTCGTGTTTTCTGCGAGCGATAGGGATTAAAATTGACGCCACAATTGGTATTGGACAAAATGGAAATACTCATCGTCCCTTTACGAAGCGATGAACTTTATCACGATATTTAATCAAACTTCCGCTGGATGAAACCACAAACAAGCAGCACATTCACTGCTATCGATTGCCGGCAGGTCTTCGCCTCAATAGCGCGGACTCACAGAAGCAGCGGCACCGGACATCAGGCTGGGACAAAAACGCAGATCGTTCGCTGTGGCCAGAGCAGCTTGGGGCTACGTGTAGGAGATAGGATCTGGGCTCACCGCCGCGGCCGGTGGGCAAACCTATCCTACACAGACCGGCACGCTAGAGACAGGCTGAAGGGACCACGGGACCACAGGACCGGAGACCGGGGACCGGGGACCGGGGACCGGGGGACCACGAGGACCGGCTGGTGGGACCGGCGGGACGGGACCGATGTCTCCTGCTCATGGTCAGGCGAGAGTAGCCGGTTCTGGGAAACCGGCGAGAGATGTGGAGCGCACAGGTAGGTCCGGAATGTGTCCGGGCCCAATCCGGAATGTGCCCGGACCCGGACCGGCCATTGGACGGCTCCATAACGGTGGGTCTCTGCGAGCTACAGTGGGCAGTTCTGGGAGAAATACTACTGTGGGCAGGGAGAGAGAGAGAGAGAGAGAGAGAGAGAGAGAGAGAGAGAGAGAGAGAGAGGAGAGAGAGAGAGAGAGAGAGAGAGAGAGAGAGAGAGAGAGATAATGAAGAGAGAGAGAATGAGAGAGAGAGAGAGAATGAGAGAGAGAGAGAGAGAGAGAGAGAGAAGAGAGAGAGAGAGAGAGAAGAGTGGGAGAGAGAGAGAGAGAGAGAGAGAGAGGACGAGAGAGAGGAGAGGAGACGATAGATTGGGAGAGAGGAGAGAGTGAGAGAGAGAGATGGGAGGAGGGGGCGAGGGAGGGGGATGGGAGGGAGGGAGAGAGAGTGAGAGGAGAGGAGAGGAGGGAGGAGGAGGGAGAAGAGAGAGAGAGAGAGGGAGGAGGGAGAAGAGAGAGAGAGAGAGAGATGAGAGGGAGAGGACGAGAGAGGGAGGAAGGAGAGGAGAGGAGGGGAGGGAGAGAGAGGAGAGAGAGGGAGGCGAGAGGGGAAGAGAGAGGGGAGGAAGAGGGAGAGGAGCGAGGAGAGAAAGAGGAGAGAGAAGAGAGAGGAGAGAATGAGAGAGAGAGAGAGAATGAGAGAGGAGAGAGAGGAGAGAGGAGAGAGAGAGAGAGAGAGAGAGAGGAGAGAGAGAGAGAGGAGAGAGAGAGAGAGAGAGAGAGAGAGAGAGAGAGAGAGTGAGTGAGTGAGAGTGAGGTGAGTGAGTGAGTGTGTGTGAGTGAGAGAGAGAGAGAGAGGGATAGAGGGGAGAGAGATAGGAAAGAAGGGGAGAGGAGCGGAGAAGAGAGGAGAGGGAGGAGAGGAAAGAAGAGGAGGGGATGAGGGAATCGGAAAGAAAGGGAGATATACGATAAGAATGATTGCTATTTTGGAGTGATCCCACGCTTATCGCCCATCACCCATGCCAACTCTTACTCCCCAAGGCCCAATCTCCTCAACTCTTCTTTCTCTTCCAAGTAGGTGACTCCCAGAGTCTTTACTCTTTCTTTACTACAAAAGTCTTGGCAGTGGGCGCCGTGACGGTTTGATCACACAATCTATCCGGGAATACCGTCATGTGAAGCCTGCGGGCTACGCGCCGGCTTAGAGTGTAATCTCAGCGTTAGTCATGCTCGTATAGTAGGAAACAGCAGTGAGCATGAGTGTCGATTCCGAAAAGTGTGATGTCCATTCGCTGATTTTCTTTGGTTGGTTCCTGTTTCCAAATTGCTCACATAGGGCCGATTGTGTGTAATGTAATGTGATGTAAAGGTAGGAGTACCCAGTTACAATCATATGAGCTACAATTTACAAAGGGAGCGAAGCGCCCCTCGTCGGAGCCCTTGGCTCGGAGAGGGGTTTGAGCAATTGAGTATGTTAATGGGACAAGTTCTGACACTAAATACCCATATGCTTGGGCAAAAATAATAGATTCGCATTAAAAGTTGCGCTGAGACGACATGGAATGGCTAATATTTCACATTTGATGAGCATTTCAGAAGCAAGAGTTCATCAATATTTACGTTGAGTTGGAAGCCGTACTGTGAAATAGTACGATCCATATACAATGCGTTTGTTGCTCACCTTGCATACAAACGAGACTCTACATTTCCCGAACACAAATGCACATTTCCATGTCAGCGCGATGCGGAGGTGCGCATCCATCAACTTCTCGCATTTGGCTGCCACGCTGCCGCAGCTCAGCGCTTTAAATCACTGTCAACTCTCTCGAATAGCATTACTGGGCAGTGGTAGTTATATCACCACTTCCTGGCCTTTGGCTACCGCCAGCAACTATCTTCTCACTCGCGGAAAGGGCACGGCTTCAAGGCCAAACAACGAATATATAAGCAGCTGGGCGTATCGCCTATTCAGGCGTAGTGGCCGATGACAGCAGTCGCCAAACGCCTGGCTCCCAGCACCTCCCGTGTTGCAATGAAACGTTCCGATAGTGTTACGGCCAGTTGCCACAGCTGGCCCCTGCATGACAATACTCTATCGAATATGTGGAATGTAAGGAACAGCCGACAGTTGTAAGATCAAACCGTAGAAGTGAGAACCAGCGATCACTGTAAGATCAAGCCATCACGCACTCCATACCTTGTGGGACCAGGGAGCCTCAGTATGGACTGGACGACTGAGTACTCTATCACTGCCAGAACCGGCTGGCTGTCCGCCGTCCCAGGGCGGACGTCCCATTGCAATGGGACGTCCGCCCTGGACGTATCACGTGGTGGGCGGACGTATCACGTCCGCCCACCAATGCATTGGTCCAGAGCCTCACTGACATCTTACTCCGCTGCTCTGATTGGTTAGCGACATCCACTTATTTTATGATCACCTCTTCGATGATTGAATCGTCAAAATCCGGGAGCATCTGACCAGCACTAACTGCGTTATCAATGAGTTTAGATTATGTGGTTGTTTTATGATCCATAAGAATCATCACTACGATTATGCTTTTATGGGAGCGTACTATAACGCTGAGCCAAAGACGCAATACCACTGCAATCTCGGCAGATAGGCATGAGGCACGTGCCCTATTCCTCGTTCGTGTTTCGTCGCAAGGCTATTCAGACTTTCATTTTCCACACCTCATATATAGCGCAGATAAATGCGACCTGCCGTACCACCAGATAACCAAGACCCATTGGCCTCCGCCGGAACCACGTCAAACGCAGTTCAACCCCTCCGCTCCCTGTCCACGGGCCGCTGCATGATCGGTAGACCTCCTATGATGACAGAGTAGCCCCCATCAGATACCGCTCCCAGCTGTCACCGACTGTAAACATCAAGTCCATCCAGCTGCGGTTTGATGAACTTGCCGCCACTACGTTTTGAGTAGATTCATTTCAGTTTTGTCATGGTTTCTCATTAGTTGCGAGCTGGACAATATGCAATATGCATGCACCATAAATCGTTCAGATGTGTCGGGGCAGACGATTCCATTCATTCACAACTCCGGTAGCGATGAGATGGCTCGAACTCATTGAACTGAAAGCTGAATAGACACGAAAGCGAGAGCAATAAATGGAAAGGACAATAGGGATGACTTCAACTATTCGCATATAACCGACCAATAATTGCATTAACTAATGCATAGCATTGTTCGAACGA